AAGAAAATAACAATAAAGAAGAAAAAAGATAAAATATAAAGCACAAAATCACCTAGAACCGAATCTAACAAAATATATCCTGGCTCTTTATGAGGAAAAATATATATGCTATTGAAATATATTAAAGAAGGTCCACATACGTGGAGAAGAAAACACCTATACTCAGGCTAACGGGTTAGAGTGTTCAGTGACGGGGCCGGCAGGGGTGCAGCAGGTTAAGCCGTGGCCTGTGATGTTGGCATCTCTCCTTGCAGTGCTGGTTTGAGTCCCAGCTGCTTCATTTCCAATCCAGCTCCCTGATAATGTGCTTGGGAAAGCAGCACAAGACGGCCCAAGTACTTGAGCCCTTGCCACCCAGTGTGGGAGAGCTGGACGGAGTTCCTGGATCTTGGCTTCAGTTTGGCCCAACCCCAGCCGTTGCGACCATTTGGGGAGTCAACCAGCAGATGGAAGATCTCTCTCTTTCTCTTTGTTATTACTTTCCAAATAAATAAACCTTTAAAAAGCAAAACAAAAAGAATATTCAGTGACTTAAGAGAGGGATTCTCCTGCAAATTAACTTGCAGACTAATAGAATTTCAGTAAAAAGCCCTGAAATCTTTCTTCCTCTAGAATTTGACAAAGTGATTTAAAAATTATCTGGCTGTGTAAACGTCTAAGACAGCCGACACTGTTGAAGAAGAGCAAGGTGAGGGGGACGTCCGTTTCCAAGATTTATCACAGAGCTCTAACAATTCCGACAGTGCTGGGTTGGCGTGGACTAAAGCACCATACTAGAGAGAGCGGAAACAGAGTGTTTGGGGCCACTCAGCCTGTGACAGGACAGCACTTCAGGTCACGCACTCTGCATGAGGTACTGTTGGGACAATTGCTAATCTGCATGGGAAAAAAGTGATATAACACATCACAAACACATGTGAATTATATAAGTTTGGGACAATATTGTAAGGGAAGTTCTTTATGATCTTTAGATACAAACTTTCTAAAACAACTAAAAATCCAGTATCTCTAAAGGAAAAGACTGACAAATTTGACTACATTAAAATTAAGAAATTCTGGGTCCAACACTGTGGCAAAGTGGGTTAAACCTCTGCGGCGCCAGTATCCCATATGGGCACTGGTTCGAGTCTCAGCTGTTCCACTTCTGATCCAGGTCCCTGCTAATATCCCTGGGAAAGCAGAGGAAGATAGCTCAAGTCCTTGGGTGCCTGCACCCATGTGGGAGACCTGGCTCCTGGCTTCAGCCTGGCCCAGCGCTGGCTGTTGCAGCCATCTGGGGAGTGAACCAGTGGATGGAAGATCTCTATTTCCCCCTTTCTCTAATTTTGACTTATAAATAAATAAAATTTTTTTAAAAAAATTAAGAAATTCTATTCATTTAAAAAGAACAGAGAGGGTGAAAAGACAAACCACAAACCTGGAGATGATGTATAATTAGTAAGACACTACTATGTAGAACATGTAAAGAATTCCTATTTGAAAATGAAAAAGAAAATAATGATTTTAATTTTTTTAAAAATTTATTCATTCATTTGAAAGGTAAAGTTACAGAGAGAAAGAGATCTTCCATCTACTGGTTCACTCCCCAAATGGCTGCAACAGCCAGAGCTGGCCGGGTCTAAGGACAGGAGCCAGGAGCTTCCTCTGGGTCTCCCACGTGGGTGCAGGAGTCCAAGCACTGGGGCCATCCTCTGCTGTGTTCCCAGGGACATCTGCAGGAAGCTGGATTGGAAGTGGAGTGGCCAGGAATCAGATCAGCACCGCTACACCACAGTGCCAGCCCCCTCATTTTTAACTGGGAAAAGACATGAATGGAACTTTTGCACAGAGACGCCCAGATGGATTGCAACATCTGAACTGATTCTCAATCTCTTTATTAGTCAAAAAAAAATGCAGATCAATACCACAATGGATACCAATTCACAGTTGGGCAAAAAATAAAAATTTAGCAATATGAAACTGGATCCCCCTCATCCACCTGGGAGTCCTGGATTGTGTTCCCAGCTCCCTGCTTTGGCCCTGGCGTGTCCCCAAGGCCAAGCCTTGCATGTTGCAGGCATCTGGAGAGTGAACCAGTACATGGTATCGTGCACTCTGTTTCTTTGCTTCTCAAATTAAAAAGAAAAAAGAAATCATGGAAAACTTGAAGCAAAAGATAACGCACAATTTCCACGAAATTTTTGAAGATCCTCTGTGTGAGTGTTGTGAGGATGCTAGACTCCTGTTTGTGGTACCAAGAAACTGGAAAAACTCAATGTCCACCAATAATAAGTAAATTGTAAAGAAAAATGCACTGTAATACATTCATTCAAAGTATTGTACCAAATTGAAAAGAAATGAGCCACAGCTACAGCAGCTACGCAAACGGCTCTCAAAAATCAGTCTTGGGGCCCGTGCCGTGGCTCACTTGGTTAATCCTCCACCTGTGGCACCGGCATCCCATATGGGCGCCGGTTCTAGTCCTGGCTGCTCCTCTTCAGATCCAGCTCCCTGCTGATGGCCTGGGAAAGCAATGGAAGATGGTCCAAGTGCATAGACCCCTGCACCCACGTGGAAGACCTGGAAGAAGCCCCTGGCCTCTGGCTTTGGCCTGACCCAGCCTAGACCGTTAAAGCCATTTGGGTAGTGAACCAGTGGATGGAAGATCTCTCTCTCTCTCTCTGCCTCTCCTTCTCTGTACCTCTTTCAAATAAATCAATAGATCTTTAAAAGAAAAAAGAATTTATACAGTATAAATTTCATTCATCAAAAGCAAAAAACAGTCAAAATGAAAGCTGTATTGTTTAGGGATAGTCACAGAGGAAGTAAATTCATAAAGGAATAAAAAGTAGTGGCCGGTGCCGCAGCTCAATAGGCTAATCCTCTGCCTGCGGCACTGGCACACCGGGTTCTAGTCCCGGTCGGGGCGCCAGATTCTGTCCCGGTTGCCCCTCTTCCAGGCCAGCTCTCTGCTGTGGCCCGGGAGTGCAGTGGAGGATGGCCCAAGTGCTTGGGCCCTGCACCCCATGGGAGACCAGGAGAAGCACCTGGCTCCTGCCATCGGATCAGCGTGCTGCGCCGGCCACAGTGTGTCGGCCGCGGCAGCCATTGGAGGGTGAACCAACAGCAAAAGGAAGACCTTTCTCTCTGTCTCTCTCTCTCACTGTCCACTCTGCCTGTCAAAAAAATAAAAAATAGGCCGGCGCCGCGGCTCACTAGGCTAATCCTCCACCTTGTGGCGCCGGCACACCGGGTTCTAGTCCCAGTCGGGGCGCCGGATTCTGTCCCGGTTGCCCCTCTTCCAGGCCAGCTCTCTGCTGTGGCCAGGGAGTACAGTGGAGGATGGCCCAGGTACTTGGGCCCGGCACCCCATGGGAGACCAGGAAAAGCACCTGGCTCCTGCCTTTGGATCAGCGTGATGCGTTGGCTGCAGCGTGCCAGCCGTGGTGACCATTGGAGGGTGAACCAACGGCAAAGGAAGACCTTTCTCTCTGTCTCTCTCTCTCTCTCACTGTCCACTCTGCCTGTCAAAAAATAAAAATAAAATAAAATAAAATAAAAAGTAGTGCTGACGACAAAAATTCCCAGCAGGTTCCCTGATGACCTCGGCTGGAGCAGTTTCAGTGGAGACTGGGGGCCGAGGCTACACAGCTGAGGGCCAAACTGGAGATGGGAAAGTGCACACTCAGGGTGGGGACAAAAGTTTGAGAAGCAGAGGGAGGAGATGGGGGTGAAAGTGGGAACAGTGGGCATGGGGCTGAGAGAAATTAAAGGGCTTCAGGTGGCCAATTAAAACCCCCCAAGAGGCTGGCACTGTGGCTCACTAGGCTAATCCTCCGCCTAGCGGCGCCGGCACACCGGTTCTAGTCCCGGTCGGGGCGCCAGATTCTGTCCCAGTTGCCCCTCTTCCAGGCCAGCTCTCTGCTGTGGCCCGGGAGTGCAGTGGAGGATGGCCCAAGTGCTTGGGCCCTGCACCCCATGGGAGACCAGGAGAAGTACCTGGCTCCTGGCTTCAGATCAGCGCAGCGCACCAGCCATAGCAGCCATCTTGGGGTGAACCAACGGAAAAGGAAAACCTTTCTCTCTCTCTCACTGTCCACTCTACCTATCAAAAACAAAAACAAAAACCCAAGAGAGACTTTTCACTCCACGAGTTGGACAACAGCTTGTCAGACAATGAGAGGTAACAGAGATGTGGCCGAGCCCGCGCTCTCAGGCACTGCCTGTGACAAAGCCACCGTGGAAAGCAGCATGTAGGAAAAGCTAAGGATGCACCATCGGCCCAGAAACTCCACCCCGGGGTACACTCGGGCCCCGGAGAAACCCACTCACGGGCGTGAGAAGACAAGGGCAGCATGTTCACGGCTCCATCTATGCAAGAGCGACACACCACACAGCCTGAACGTCAGCCAGATAGAACAAATAAATCATGGTATGGAGACACCGAAGTACTGTAGGCAGCAAATACAAACATGCGCAAATTATATGCATGACTCTTACGAACATAATGCTCAGAGAAAAGCAAGCAGCACAAAGCTAACTGTGGTAGGTACCACACATAAAGGTTTTAAACACATAAGCCTATGAATTGTTTTAATGTATAAAGAAATGCATGCACATGT